AAATAAACTATATATTTATCATTAATCTAAAAAAAATTTCAATTTATATTTACAATATTAACAACTATTTACAAAATTAATATTAATCTAAGCATATATATATATCTCTAAAAAAAAAAAAAAAAAAAAAGGAATACAATCAATGTATTCTCTAAATTCATCTTTTCATCCTTTACCGTCTTTATCGTCTTATTTCAACAAATATTATCTGAATCTCTATTTAATTGATACTAATAGTAATGTTGGATTATATTTGATGCGAAAATACAACAAAGAATATACATGGATTTCCCTAATATAATAATATCCTTGAACAACTCTCCTTGTATAAAATAAAATAAAAAAAATTATTCGTTGATTTTTTTTCCCTGAATCGATGCAATGATATTGACTTGACTACATTGTATTAGAACAATGGCCTGTAATTATAATATATTATCATATATTATGATATCTTTGAGTATTAATATGTATTTCGACCTAGGAATATTCCTCTAAAAGTGCTTATTATATATAATGCCGAAGAGGTAAAAAGAAGGAAAAAATGATGTTGTAACTAAAACACTCTAATGACTGATAATGATAGAAATACTGAAAACAATAATGGGCTTAAAAATATAATAAGGAAAAACCACAAACAAATGGTGGTCTGTCAAATTTTTTTTTTTTTTTTTAGAAACCTTGTACATAAAATTTACAAAATACAGTAGTAAGTTATAGTTTATTTTATTTTATAATATTTAAATTTTAAACGCTTATCATAAATTATCCTAAAAGATAACGAAGACATACCTGTTCATAGCAAAAGTAAAAAAAAAATAATTAGATGAGTTCCCACCATCTATGGATTGGCTTTCTTGTTTTTTTGTTTTGATTCGTATTCGTGCCAATCCCCTAAGATTTCGGGAAGCCTATAAGATAGTACATTTTGACCAGATAAAGAAAGATCATAGAATAAAAAGATATATTATAGTGTAAATGCGAAAATATACTTACTCTGAAGGTGAACAAGCATATGGATTTTCGGTCGTGAAATATGAATAATTTAACGCTTGACGAGCTGAGGGCCTTTTTTGGGGGTTTACTGAAAGCAGTGATTCGACCAAATGAAGTGCACATGGAGATAACAAACTACTCCCAAAAAATAATTATTATTAGTTTGATATTAAATCAAAAGGTGTTTGCATTTTTATTAATACTTACTGTTCGAAATTTTCACGGAATTTTGAACCTTTCGGACCATTTCGTTTTGCCATTGCATACCATGATAATTCCGTTATTTTGGGCCATTCTTTTTTATCTGGCACACCCATCAAATTAAAGATGCTATCCAGTTGTGAAAACTCATCTTTACCTTGAAACAATGGTTTTCCCGTTATTAATTCCATCATTATGCATCTAAGAGATAACAAGGATTTTAGGTCAATTTAATACAATTATTAAAATTCCATCATTTAAGTAGATTAAATACTATGATATGTACCCTACACTCCACAAATCGACCTCCCAACTATATTCTGTTGCTCCGAGACATAACTCTGGGGGTCGATACCACAACGTTATTACACGATTGGTGTAATCGTGCTTATTTTTAATATCAAATTGACGAGCGAGTCCGAAATCCGCCAACTTTACTTCTCCACGATTGTTTAATAAAATGTTTGAGCCTAGATATTTACATGAACGTATTTACTATTTTGATCCATATACCCAATGTTTATAAAGGAAAATTACCTTTTATATCACGATGTAAAATTCCATTTTCGTGAAGGTGGGCTAAACCTTCTAAAGTTTGCTTCATAAGGCATTTTACGTGTTGTGATTCGTATTTGAGTTTCGGGTTCGCGAGAACACCGGTCAGGTCATGTGCCATATATTCAAAGACCATGTACACGAAACCTAATAATTGATAACAAGTTCAACAAACAATTAATAAGCTAAATTGAATATTCGAGATTCTAAGAATATTAATTATTTGAGTTTGAAAATTTTTTTTTTTTTTTAAGATGATTATTTGCTCACCTTGGAAAACCATTATCTCTTTTAGTTGTACGACGTTTTTGTGTTTGCATTGTTGCAAGAGCTTAATTTCACGAATTGCCGTGAGAGGGAACTGCTAGAATGATGAATATGAGTAACGGGACTTTCCAGTAAAAAAAATTTTTAGCCTTTTTTCACCAACCTACCCCAGCTTCCTTTTCTTTCTCTGGATCCATACGTATCTTCTTCAATGCCACTATTTCCTTTGTCTCACGATTTCTTGCTTTGTAAACCTTACTGAAAGGTCCAGAACGTAAAAATTATTCATCAAATGTAAATCTGTTTAAATGAAAGCACGATCGATTATTTACCCGTAGGTGCCCTCTCCTACTTGACCCAAAATTTCATATAGTTCGGCACATTTTTTAACGGTTACCGGAGTGACTTCAATCGGGGATACATGAGACTTTACAGATCTTGATCCAACTGTTGGTTGCTGCGATACATGAGTTGGTTGTATCGATTGTATTGGAAACGTTGACTGTGAGTAGGATGTATGTGGCGATATCGGTGATCGCAGCTGTGTAGTCAGTTGTACGTTATTTACGTTCATATGAATGTTGGCATGTGGTGGATTTGGAGGTTGTGGGGGTTGGGGTGGTTGGGGTGGCATCGCGTGCTTATTCTCCATATGATGATTATATCCCATACTATCAGCACCATTCATATAAGGATTATATTGGTTTTGGTAATGATCGTATGGATGATAATATGTTTCCTGGTAATGATGACCAGGAGGTTGCGGATGATAATTTTGATCCCAAGCCGGTATCTGAGGAGGTAATTGTCCTTGAAATGGTGCAGGTTCCTGATATGGTGTTTGTTCGTAATGAGGAAGAACCGGATGAGTTCCAGGTGCTCCTGGCTGAACTAATTGCGCAGGCTGCCTCTCGTGATGTTCACGTTGCCCTATGTGGCCCAAATGTCCTGATTGATTCTGATTATGTTGAGCCTGTTGGCCAATTTGACCAGGCGGCCCTGGAGGAACATGTGAGCCATGTAAACTAACATGTCCAGATACGCCCGGGGGTCCAAGTTGTGATGATACACCTGGAGCATGTTGACCTGGAACTGGAATCATTGTAGGTCCGTGTGACACAGGAGGATGTGGTCCATGATGCCCATGCGGTCCAGATGATCCAGTAAGACCTGTGGAATTCCAATTATTCTGCGCAATCCCATTTTGATGTTGATATTGTTGATGATATCGGTCTTGATGCCAAGGAGGTTGCCTTTCCTGTTGTCTATTTCTTGACGGTCCATTATTATTATCACGTCCATAACGTGAGGACCTGTCATTATAATGTCGATGACCCCAACTATCCCTCCTATCACGAGATGCTGCACCTTCTCTACAATATGAACCATCTCTGTACGCCGAACCCCCATCACGGTATGACCGTACGTTGCGTTCATTATTATATTGCCGAGATCTCCAACCGCTATCTTGACTTTTATCTCTTGACCTTCGCTCATAAAAACTACCCCTGCGTCCCCCTCTCACATTACCAACACCATTATTGTTATTACTACCAACGTTATTATTATTATTATTATTATTTCCCCCTGTGTTAGATCGTTGATTCCACGATCTCTGCTGCCTTACACGGTTTCCTCCTCGATAACCTCGTTGTGAATTTTGGTCCGAACGTGGAGGTGCTGGTGGACCATATGGGTTTTCAGGTGGTCTGAAACTATCCATAGTGTTTGATTGCATGAATAAAAAGTACGTTTTAGAACTATGCAAGTTAATGTAAATGAATTAATAAAAAAAATTATAGTTTTTTTTTATAATATAATGAAAAAAAAAAATTAGCAGGAAATATAATAAAAGGTTTGTTTGTAAGAATTATAAAAAGTGGTGAGAGTAAAATTTTTTCTGTAAAAATGTAGAAATTTTGGGTAAATTACTCTTTTTTAAGAAATTAGCGTAAACGAAAACGTCTACAATGATTATATTAAGGAATGCAATTTTTTCGAGATATCGGTATTTATTTAAAAAAAAAAATCAAAAATAAAATTTGAGAGTTGCCTAAACCCCTTTTTTCCTTTTTTTCAACCTATAAAATTACACAAATTTCTCACCATACGCAGTCCGCAGCAGCAGTATTGGGAACGAGTGTAAGTTTGATTTGTTCAAATTAGTTCAATTGATAAAGAATATTTGATTTGAAGATTCATTGTTTTTTAAAGAAAGAAAAAAATTCTGGTTTTAATGTAACATGGCTACCTAATCTGTGGCTTTATAATAAACAAAGATGCAAGGATTAAGGAAATTATCTAATCAGCTGACATCAAAGGATAAAAAATTCCCAAAATGATACAACTTTATTTGAATTTCAGTTTTATGTTACATATCCAATAAACAATGATATTAGATTACAATAATGACACAATGGCACATCCCGAGGACCCAAGACCCAAGTTCCAAAATCGTGGTTTTATTTTGTATTATTTTTATATATTGTATAATTGTATAGGAAAATCACCAAAAATCTTTCTTGTAATTTAAGAAAGGCGTCCATTTAATTCTAATGCGTAAAAAGAGAGGCTCGATTCTGCGCCATGGAGATAAATGATGACATTTGGCCATCTTTATTATGTAATATCTGAGAGTGTCACGAGAATCGAAGATCTATTTGCATGCATTGATTCCCTTAGAAATTCATTCAACATAAAACATAATCATATCCATATCATATGAATTTCCGTTTCTCTCTTTGAAATCAGATCAAATTTTTTTCGTTATTTAATTATATTGATTTGTTATGTTGCGAGAATAAAGTCTTATTATAATCGATTTTTGATTGATGGTTAAATTCAAATTACATAATCGCCCCTTTTGTATACGCGCTTCATTCCGGAACGTATATTGCCGATCTCGCGGAGTTTCACGTGATTATATGATAAAATTGGTATATATTAATGGATTTTATTTATTTCAGTTAAACACGGTCAACATGAAGCCTGCAAAGAAGGTAGATATTCGTGATTATCTCAAAAGGCATCCTGACCTACGAGTTAAAGATTTAGATAAAGAGGCCTGGTACTGGAGCGATTTTTCCAACCAAAAGAATTTCAATCCAAAATTATTTAACGAAATACTCAAGTTTTGGTCAAATGTCTTGGTTGAAACAAGTAAACGCGGCTGGTTGGGTGAAGATATTCTATGTATTAATCGTGAAGGTTTAGAAGAAATATTTTCCGTGTATAACGGGATTTCTCCAGCAGGCTTAAATTGTGTTTTTGTATGACAAAATCTTTTCTATTTGTGTTCAAGAACTTTTTCCGAATTTATTTGACTCTCGTTTCTTTTATTTTTTTTTTTTTCTTAGCAAGAATTATATATCTCCCTGGAATTAATTCCAGTTGAAGATTATCATTCTTCCATGTCATCGAATCATTCTTGGTCAGGATGGATTTTACATTCATTATTGTGGGGATTACAAAAAGTGACGGGTTCTAATAATGTTTTAGATGCGAAAAAATTTGTAATTATGCCTACTTTAAAGGAGGCTGCAGAACACGTTCTTCAACATCACGAGAAAAATGCAATCCATGGAATCACGGATAACCTTTATACTTTAACTTCATTTAAGGCCGAGTACGCTTCCTTGGCTGTTCCAAACGTCGTATTATCAGATACAGACCTTACGATGTTGGTATATTATCTAGAATTTGATCAAAGAATGTTAATTACAGAAGCTTGGCATGGAACATCAAGTGAGGAAAAAGAAGATGAAATTGTGAGCATAATATTATGTGTTGATCCTTATTTTGTCTGATTGTATTGTCTATTAAATATTTAGTAATGCTGATACTTATACTACCAGATAATTAAAATACGATCTAAAAAAGAAAAATATCTTTCCAAACTTGAATTTACTAAATCTGATCGTGGAATTATTTGTATTAAAGAAACGAGTAAGAAATTACGTAAACAAGTCGAAGATGTCGAAAATAAAATGGCAGAGTAGGTATTGTTATTATAAATTTTTAAGAAAAAAAAATCTTATGAAAGCCTTTTTCATGAAATTTGTGATATATATATAAATATATATATTTTAGCTTGAATAAGAAGATAACTGGATATTTAATTCGTAAACAAAAAGTGCAAGCGAAATATTCTTTAAGACAAAAAAAGAATCTTGAACATATCTTATCAAAAAGAATGGGTTCTTTGGATGCAATCGAGGGAGTTCTTTTGAAAATTCAAGGAGCTGCAAGTGATACTGAAGTATGGAATTATTTTTTAATTATAATATATATGTATTGATTTTTTGTTTTTTTTTGATAACTATTTGATTAAAACTTAATTAATTTTACTATCAAAAGATCATAGATATGTATGGTTTAGGAGCAGATGCTTTGAAAGGTGTTTTGGCCTCCGAAGGAATAACTACTGAATCTGTGGATGCTACAATGGATAAACTACAGGATGCCCTTGCAGATCAAAAAGAAATAGATGATGCAATGAAAGTGAATCAGACTTTGATCGAAGCATCACTTGAAATAGATGAAGAATTAGAGAAAGAACTAGAGGCATTATTGGAGGAAGAGGAGTCCATTAAATCAACACCAACGAAACAACCAGTGCTTCAACCGGTCACAGATACTACTGTGTCTCAACCAATTGAGGAATCTACAGAGAAGAATGTTATTGATAAAGAACTGGAGGAACTAGAAATGATGTTTTCAGAAATGGAAGCTGCACCTCAACATACTCCTAGAATTATTGATAGTAATTCACAAAAGGAAGAAATAATGCTTACTTCGGAATGAACATCACATGCGTATTTATTAGCATAACAAACAATTGCAAATTCTTAACTAGTTATTTAATACTTTTTTCCCCTGTGTGCCTAACATATTTTCGTTGACCTATGTTTCAATCCTTCTTTTATATGGAAAATTACCGTCAACAAATTTTCAATAAAGATGGTATTGAACTAATAAGATTATCCAAAATTTAGCAAAATTATTTTTTGCCGATTGCGAATTTCCAAGTCAACTATATATCAATAAGCAATGAGAGTTGGAATCAGGATTTACAATACCAGATAATATTCGGGTAGCTGGATTTTTAAATTTTATTCTTTGTTTATAGAACTTATTATATCTTAGATATGAAGCATAGAGAGCATGTAATTAACAGATTTAAAATATAAAATATATAGATTTTTTGTAACATCAGCATATTATTTTAGATATTGTTTACTGTAAAAAAAAAGATCTGAATAATTTTGATAAATTTTTATTTTTACTTGAGTTATATATTGAATTCAAATTCTTAATATAATATATTTATAAAAATTTTTTTTTATAATAAATAAAAAGTAAATTACTTATTATTTTCGAATTTTTCTTTTAATATTTTTATAATGATAATTAATTCTTTATAACTATTTAAAAATTTAATTTTATATAAATACAATTGCAATCTTAATTAGTGTTAATAATAATAGTTGATTTTGATTTACTGAAAAATTTACTATTGATCATTCAAATAACTTCGATTATAAATTTTTATCAAATAAAAAGATAGTACTACAACAGACTTGAAAAATCTGCAACTGGTTATAACCTAGATTACAACCTAAAAAGTTACAACTAATTGTAGACTTTTATATTATAATTCTTATATTTAAGGATTTTGCAATTGATATAATCTAATCTATCTTTACTTACAAATTCAGCCAAATATCATAATCAAAACATTGTTAATAATTCTTATATTGCAGTTGGTTTTTCAGTAAGCAGTTTAAAATCTATTTTAAAGATATTCTAAAAGAATAATAGGATTTTGATAGGTTAATAGTATAAGTTCAAATAGTAGTATCTTAATAGTATTTATATATATAAATTAGAAAAAAAAGAAATATATAATAAGTGAAATAAAAGAAAAAGAAAATATAATAAACAAATTTATATAATATCTTGATAATCTAATCATTACAATAAATTCAGGACTTGATATCTATGTAAAAAGAGTAACTATAAATTATATGATGATTAGCAGAACTATAATGAGTTGATTGAAAACATATCCAATGTAATTCTATATATTGTTTTTAAAGAAACTGAGAAAGAAAGCAAATCTGCAGATTCAAATATTTCAAAGAAACTATTGAAAAATTCTTCATATGAGAAGATGACTATAGATACTTAAAGTTTATTACAACAAGAAACAATCTATGTATAAATCTGTATAATTGACTTTAATTGCAAGACTAACAAGCTAATATAAATTTAAAATTGATTCTAAATATGTATGCATGTTATAGTATATTTCAAAATATACTAATAATAGCAAAATCATAATTGATAGCTTTTTTAGATATATTGAATCAAATTTTTAGCAAAAGTCAGCCAAAAGATCTATTACTAATTCCAGAATAGGATTCTTTACTTAAAAGATCTATCATATTCTTCTTAGCCTTCCTCTTTATTATTCAAATCAGCAATTTGTTTTCTTGAATCTTAATAAGAAAGCATCTAGATTAAAGATGGTACAGCAATTGATTTCAAATTTATAAAATGTTGCAACATAAGCTAAAATTAGTTGCAACATATGTTGCAACATTATAAGTTGCAACATATATAGGTTAAAACTAATTGCAACATAAGTTGCAACATTAAAAGTTGCAACATATTAATTACAGTTTCCATCTTTAATCTAGATGGATTTGTAGTATTAGAAAAAATAAAGAATCTTCTATAATTAATGATCTAGAATGAATAGAAAAATCACTTTTGAAAAATTTCTTTCTATTTCAATTTTACTTAACATATAGATTAGTTTCAAATTGGTAGAATAAATATTTATAAGAAAAAATTATACATATTTTACAGCCATTGTCATTATGAGAAAATCCTTAATGCAAAGAGTTCTACTTTATAAAACTTCTTCTTCATATTTACTACTAAAATCTTTAACAATTAATAAAAAATAGTATTATTATATAGTTAACTTTATATTGCTAAATATCTTGAGAAGATCAATACTAATTCAGTTAATTTATTTAGACTATTAATAAATCATACAAAAGTAAAATAATTGATGATGATAATGAATAGTAAGGTTTTGCAAAATTAAATAAAATCAAATATTAAAGCAATTTGAATTTGATTTGAATTTTTCAAATTGAATTAAATTAAATTAAATTAAATTAAATCAAATATTCAATTGAATCTAATCAAATCAAATATTATTTAAGATTAATCAAGATTAAAAAAAATTAAATTTTTATTTTCAAAAAAAAACCAACTATTAAAAATATAAAAATCCTATATATAATAATGATTTAAAAAATTAAAATTAATATAATATATATATATTTATAAACAATATTAATATTATAATTAAATGCTAACAAAAAAAAAACTTTGATAATAATTTTAAAAGTTCTAGTATCTTATATATGATAATATTAACCAATTTTTAAATATATTATTGTACAAATTATATTACTTGAAAGCCTGTTTCGTTTCAGAATAATTATATTTCTACTTTAGCTAAATAATCATTCAACAGATACACTAGTTAATGGTATAGAAAGATAATCTTACATTATAATTGCTAAAGTAGGATAATTATGCTTATATTATTTTTATTATTCCAATATATTAATAAATCTTAGTTCTATTAGACTATCAAGATAACGATTAAGTTCTTTATATTCATCACTAAAGATGGTACAGCAATTGATTTCAAATTTACAAAATGTTGCAACATAAGCTAAAATTAGTTGCAACATACGTTGCAACATTATAAGTTGCAACATATATAGGTTAAAACTAATTGCAACGTAAGTTGCAACATTAAAAGTTGCAACATATTAATTACAGTTCCCATCTTTATTCATCACTATTTCAAAAACATTTGAAAAGAGAAAATAATAGGTTGTTATTATCATTATTATTACTATTAATTAAAGTAGTAATTGCAGTTAAAAAATAAATAGAATGAAACTAATCAAATTTATGTGTAAAACTATAATTTTAATAAAAAAATATGTTAAGTTAAATTTATATACTTTTTATATTAAATAATTTTACTTATATATTTTTTGCACTTTTATAATATTGATTATCATTATTTTCAATCTAATCTTGATAATATTAATAGGAATCAAGTATCATCAAAATATAATGAATAAGGTTAAAAGCTTTATTATAATATTCACTTAATTTGTTTTATGCTGTTTATATTGTATTATATATACTTTTTGAAATATCTTTTTGTTTTATTATTTTTTTAACATATTCCATTATATGATTATATATAGGGTATATATCATTAATTGTTTGATACTTTAACACATACATTTCAGTTAATAATTTTGTAAAGCTTTTTAAAAAAATACAATTTCTTCTAAAATCTTTCATTTGGATTGATCTAATATATACCTGAAAATTCCTCAGTAAAGACAATCTTTTCAAAGACCTAAGTTAGTGAATTATTATAATATAAACTGCTAAATAAATTAAATTAGTTTAAAATACTTAATACATATAATGCTATATAATATATTTTATCATTTTATAAGTTGAGTTTCAGCATGTTAAAATATTTAAAATTAATACCAAATTTTTAATATTGTTAAGACTTGAAATTTCATTAAATTTTTGTCAGTGTTAAGGAGATGAACAGTATTTTAAAACTATATTTTTGATTTGTTTAATTTCACATTTTAATTCCTTTAATATAATTTGAATCAGTGATGACAAATTACAAGATCATTTACTTTTTTTTCAAATGAACTTGATCATTTTGACTTGAAATTTATAATAAAAGTAAAATTATTTGAGGTCATTTAAGGTCATTTTAAGATCATTTCAAAATCATTTGTCACTACTGATTTGAATAGCAAGTTTGATAACATAAGCAAAATACCTAATATGATTATTAATTAAAAATTTATTTTAATTTAAAGCCTATTATTATCCAAGATTGAAAATTAATGTATTGTTATTTTTAGCATTATCAGTAATAATATACTTTAATTATAAATATAAAATAAATATATGATATAAATATTTGGATTGTTATTAAATCAAATATCTTCATAACATAATATTTTTTATATACCTTTAAAGTAATATCATATAATTCTAATATTTGAATTAGTTCTTTTACCAAATTTTCACTCTTATAAGAACCTTCTATCTCAATAAAATTAAGAGTCAATTGTTGAAGTTTTCAGGACTTATTAATAAAATACATAATTATACCACCATATATGCTTTAACTATTAAAAAATTGATAGTTTTATAAAAGTTTTTTGATGATACTTTGGAATTTAACAAAATTATGAATTATATCTCTTTTGATTGTATCAGTAAATATAACTTTAAATCCGTTATTTTTTCTAATAATTGTTTTATTTATTCTTCAATGATTAAAAATAGCAAATTCTCAAGAACAATCCATTCTTTTAACCTAATTAATAAAATACTTTCAAAAAGAGGCTATATAAAGATAATTTAACAATATATATTAATATATATATTTCTTTTTAAGAAAATATTAATATAAATTATATTTACTTTCTCTTTATTATTGATATATTTATTAATTGTATGTTGATTAGTTGACAAACTAAGTAAATTTTTATGAACTTTCTTAATATAATTCTAGAGATTAATAATTGCATTGCCAATAATAGTATACTTCATATTCTTACAAGAATTATATTTTGCTGTTAATTTATTATTAAATTTTTTTTTGATATAATATTTTTAAATACTAGACTTTGAAGAATTTTCTTTAACAATAGGTT